TCAGGAGAGGTCTGCGGTGCCACGTGGGTCACCTCTGGGGTGGGGATCAAATTCATGCTGAGGTGGCTTTAGCTTCTTACTGCTATGCTTTAACCTGCTGCGCTACCAGGGTGGGCCCGTAAGTAACTTTTAATTGTACTAAATATTACTTTATTTAACGATCTTAGGAGCTCTGTGGCATAAATTTTATAATATTCACTTAAGATTTCTATTTTTACTTCTGAGAAACATAGTTTTTAAAACTACACTCTACATCAATTAAATTCATTCCATAAATCCATCAAATATTTATTAGGACAATAGTTCAGTTTAAGAAACCGTGAGTATGCAGCAGTAAAATACATATTGTACCACTATTCTCATAAAGGTTGAATTCTAGTTGGGTGAGACACAGTAAAAAAATATGTAGAGTAAGTTAATTTTAGATGGGGATTTGGTCTATAAAGAGAGGTGACTGAGTTGTAGAATGATTGGCAATGGGATACTTTTAACTGAGAATCAGAGGTTTGTCCTGAGAACTGAGTGACAAAGGGCCAAGAAGGCTGTGCGCATGTAGAACCAACATATTCCAAGGAAACAGAAGTAATGTGGCTGGGGAAACTTGAGCAAGTAATGATGTGAGAAAAAAACAGAAACTGTGTGGCCATCAAAATATTGAACCGTCATATGTGAAAAACTATGGTTAAGGAGTTTGTATTTTACCCCAAGGATAATGAGAAACCAGTGAAGAACTTGAATTTCAAGAGAGAGATTGAGTGGTTGTTATTTCACAGATACATTCCTGGCCTTGTCAAGAAAGACTTAGGATGAGAAATCAGAAAGGAAACAGGATACCATTTACCTCTTTGGAGGGAACTGTGTTAGATCAAATGAAGAAGTACAAAGGCTTGTGCTAGATTGGTAGCAACAGAGAAACAGCACTAAGATTTTCTGTAAATTAAAGAAGGATCCAAGTGATCATTTGTTTTTGACATGAACAAGCACTTAAAGTGGTGATGCCATTAGCTGAGATGATGAGGTAGTTGGAGAAATGTTTCTTTATACATGTTAAATTCGAGATGCTTTTATCTGTCCTAATGGTGATGCCTGGAAGTCAGTAGAAAATATGAATAAAGGAAAGTTATGAGGTTAGTGCAGTATTAGAGATCCAGTCTAGAAAGTGGTAGAATCCAGATCTCCTCTCTTCCTTTCACTATCTCACAAGTCTGGGCTTTGGTTTTGTTGTTTGTTTGTTTGTTTTTCTCATTTATCACATATAAGGGCTTGGGTATTATATATATTCTCATTTCATCCTTATGACTGCACTTTGAGATTTTTTGAAATCACTACCTCCATTTGATTGATGAAAGGAAATGAATCCCAAACATTATTGGTTACTTACCCAAGTTTAAAAAGGTAGTAAGTGGCCAAGCCAGAGTATCAACTCTGATTTGATTAGTTTATTTTCACCCCACAGTGCTCAACCCTTCTGCTTTTCTTTTGTTATTGTTGTCATTGAACTAAGTTGTTTTATAAGTTTTGAAAAGTAAAGCTCAGTTGACACGATAAAGTGAAAAATTAAAAGGTTTAATGATGATGAGTATCAATGAATATCAGTTTGTTAAAGCAAACAGAAAATTCCCAGTTTTCCAGAACACTAAGTGCATCAGACTTACATTATACCATCTTGTAATCATTATATTTTATAATTAATTGTTAAACTTGGAATTTTCATTAAGGTGGCACTGTTAAGAGCGCATGCAGGAGAACATTTACTGCTTGGAGCTACAAAGAGATCCATGGTGTATAAAGATGTTTTGCTTCTGGGTAAGTTTTTGTTTTTAATTTTAAGAGGAAAATATGCATGTTTCTTCTTTATACAGGTTTTATCTTGTATATACCAGGCATTCACAGACACTGTCAATTGGTGTTCTCACTACACAAAAGAAAAACTTGCTCTCTTTACATTCTCCAGTCCTCTACCTTACTTAATTTGCTAATTTAAGTTATATTTTCTATTGAGAGAGTTAAGACTCCTGTAAAACTTAGGGGTATACCTCTCTGTGGGTTGTGTAAAATGGTGACTAGATTGTTTACTCTATGTGATAGATATTTTTCCCCAAAATAATAAACTGAATATAATGTAATAACAACCAATATTTATTGAGGACTTACTCTGTAAGATGTGTTGCTCTAGCTGCTTTCCATGTGTAGGTACATTAAGTCACTTAATCTTCATAAGAACTCTAAGGGACAGCTACAATTATTTTCAGCACATTGTGCAGGTGCAGAAAGTAGCAGATTCAAAGTCAATAATTAAGGGTTAAATACTCAGGATTTCAACCTAAAATGGAACTGTAGAGACTCTGATCTTAAATTTTATTAAACATTATATTCCTAAAGCCCCTACAATACTGTTCTCATTATAGATCTGAAAACAATATATCTAGAAAAAAATATCTTTATTGTGTAGTTCTAAATTTTCTGACTTTGAGTTCTCAGAAAGCTAAATTTTCATTAGAAGTACAGGCTATATTTTAAGTAATTTTACACATGTAACACTAAAGATTGTCTTTGCTGCTGTGAATGAATCAAAATTTCTACTTTTCAAAAAACCAGAAAACAATGTAGCTGTTATTTTGAGTTATAATAAATTTCTAGTTTTCTATTATTTTGAAGGCATAGTGAATATTATCATATTTATAATCAAAGAGTTTATAAGTTTAAAGTTTCTTCAGGGATGAGGTGGTCTGGCTCTCCAATTTTTTTAAAGCTCTTGAATTTATCACCATACAGTGATCTCTCTTTTCTATTTAAAGAAATTCAGGAAGTGAAGATTTACTATTTAATGAAGCAACTCCTGAGAATACCTTTGTTAATAGACCAAAAACATCAGCCTCATCTACTTAGTCTCATTAAAATTGTCTCTCAATAATTGCTATACTTATATAAACCCAGACTACTAGAGGAAACATGTTTTTAATCCACACAAAGCAAGAAAGCTGCTTTAGGTTTTGTTTAGCGCTCACTAGACACAATAGCTAACTGACAGTGGAAAGCTAATCATTATATTTTGTTTCTCCCTTGTCAATTACTAGCTTGTTATTAGTTTGCACTTCAGTGGTATCAACTGGGACTGGGGCTGTTAAAATGCATGTGATCTTATTATCAATGTTATTGATCTTTTAAATGTTTTAAATTGTTCTAATATAACTAACACTGCTGAGAAAGGAAGTGCTATTACTATTCTGTCAAGGCAAGACTATTTAAAACTTAAGTGTGAAAAAATTGAAACCATATCTGACAATAATTTGGGGGTGGTGTGACTTTCCCTCCTAGGAAACAACTACGTTATTCATCGCAATAGCTGTGAAGTTGAGATCAGCCGTGTGGCCAATCGGGTTCTAGATGAACTGGTTCGACCGTTTCAAGATATTCAGATCGATGACAATGAATACGCTTGTTTGAAGGCGATTGTATTTTTTGACCCAGGTTTGTTTTCAAATACAGCTATAATGTATTATAAACTACGATTAGCATATTTATGCTCACACTCGTGTAAGCTTAAATCTTAATTTGCACCTTCTGTTCTTTTCTGTTTTACCAGATGCAAAAGGGCTAAGTGACCCAGTGAAGATTAAGAACATGCGGTTCCAAGTGCAGCTCAGCTTAGAGGACTACATCAATGACCGACAGTACGACTCCAGGGGGAGGTTTGGAGAACTACTTCTGCTCCTGCCCACCCTGCAGAGCATCACCTGGCAAATGATTGAGCAGATACAGTTCGTTAAACTGTTTGGGATGGCGAAAATTGACAACCTACTTCAGGAAATGTTACTGGGGGGTGAGTACATTTACGAATTTCTATTTTATGTATTAGCATCATCACTGCCTACTTTATAATGTTGACCTTTTAACTTCTTCTCCATGACCTAATGAATTCAAATGTCAAAACCCACTGGATGGGGACAAAAATACTTAACCTATACAAATCCACATTCTCACCTACCTCCACCATCTTTGTTCCACATGGTCCCTATTACACCTAATTTCAGGTCTCTTCAAGTGTAATAAATTCAAATGTTCATAATTTTTAATTTACTATGCCTTGACTCCTTTAAAAACTCAAGAATAGCAAACTTTCTTGTGACCGAAAAAATGTATCAGATACCTTGAAAGTGTACATTTTGCTCCTGAAATAATTGACACAACACAATGAGAAGGAAAAAAAAAATTTCATTTCTGCAATAAATGTCAGAAATAAGTTAAGAAATCATTTATTTTGTGTTCTGATCTGTATTAAATTTCCTTGCAAAAATCACTTTATTTTATTTTAGTTTTAGTTTTCTGGTGCTTAATGTGTTCCTAATGACATCTTTCTGAACTAAAAGTTGTTTATACTATTAGGGTGATCCCAAATACTATAAACCTGAAGTAAGTGTTTCTTGGAATTGCCTTAACAACAGGCAGCAAACCTAATGATTCCAGGAAATGGCACACAAGGTCCATTTATTAATATACAACATAATATGATACAACATTAATCTAGCCAATGTACGTGAAAGCTGACATTGTCCTTAATATGGCATGGTTCTATTAATTTATTTCTGAATTCCCAAAAAACACTTTGCAAGAATAGCAATATTCAAACTGTCAGTCAAAGCATTTGTTTCAAGGTAAGCTTGTTGTTCCTGATTATATATCACTAACACAAGAGGGTTTCTCTCTTTTTATATCCTTTAGGTGCTTCCAATGATGCTAACCATCTCCATCATCCAATGCACCAACATTTGTCTCAAGATCCATTAAATGGACAAACTCTCCTTTTAAGTCCCATGTCAAACCTTGTTCATACAGATCAGATACGTAAGTATCTGGGCTGGTTTTCAACCATAGTATTTCTTAAACTTAATTACCTGAAAAACAAAGTGGAATGTGTGGAAAGAATCTAGTATCACCCCCAACATTTCAAATCTTACTTATAATTTATATCTATGCCTCAACTGTGGAAAGTTGGGCAAGTCACATTCTCTATTTAGAAATGTGTTTGACTAGCTAACTCTTTCTAGTTCAGAGGTTGGGGGGAACAACATTCACAAATTTCTTGAGTATATGACCAAAGAAGAAGTGAAATTTTTAGAAAATATGCATATTATAGAAATAATAGGGCACATTTAACCTCTTTCAACACACTTAAAAGATAGTGGTTTGGGACCATCCTTGCAAAGAAAATGCTACCATTTTTACTTAGTAGATATTCAAAAGCAGCATAAGGGAAACTCAATAACTTGCTAAAAGGATTGTAGACTTACATCTCTTAGAAATCAGTTATTCATAAACTCAGAAAGTAAAACATTAACAAGACCTTAACAATTTTGCTGGTGGTTGAATCCTTTTTTAAATACTAGCATCTCAGTATTTTAAAAGGATATTTGGGGCTCTCCCTGGTGGCACAGTGGGTTAAAGCACAGCACTATAGGGGGAGGTTTGGAGAACTAATTCTGCTCCTGCCCACCCTGCAGAGCATCACCTGGCAAATGATTGACCAGATACAGGTTAGCCACAGCCACTTTAAAACTCGGTCCATCCCAGGCCAGGAGGTGACTCACATGGCGTGGCAGACTTCTTTCTTGCCCACTGTTACCCTCACTGGTGTACTTTTTGTCAATCTGCCTGTTCTACTCCCCACACTGTCTCTGGTGAATCCTCTCACTGCCCCTGCACCTCTGGTCTATACCCTAGTTTTGTATGCATCAACAAAATAAATCTTATTTAAAAAGTATATTTAACCCTAATCTTTTGAGAATCATATCATCAAACATTTTATTTTTAGTTTTCTTCTTTCAAAATAATACATATGAAAGCTTTTGTTCTGCTCCTACTCATTGTAATAGTTATATATTGGTCAATACAAAGTATTGAACACATACAATACAAAACCTAAGTTCATGTATATATTCTTTTTTTTTTTT